CCCTTTACCACCACAGGACCTTGGCACCTCCCAGCCCCCCCCCCCCCACCTCTCTTCCCCCAGATCTTCACCTGGCTGGCTCCTTTTCAGTCTCTGTTTCAACATTTTTCACCAATGGCTCAGCCTCATCAGTGATGAGAGAAATGCAAATTAAAACCTCTGGTGAGATACCATTTCACACCCATCAGAAGAACAAAAAGCTAAAATTTGGTCAATATCAAGTGTTGAGGAGGGTGTGAGGGCAGCATGACTTTTGTCCCATGCGGAGGACGGTGTCAATGGGCACAACCACTTTGAAAAAGCTTGGCATGAGCTAGTAACAGTCTACTCCTAGGCCAGCGGGCATCCCAGGGATTCTCAGCCCTGGCCGCAGATTAGATTCCGCTAGGGAACACCCAAGCCTGGGCCCACCTCCACATACACCCTGATTTAATCAGTCGGGGGGGGGGGGGGAACTGATTAATAATAAACATATTAACATGTTTTTCAAACGCTCCAGGTGATTCTACTGAGCACTGCTGCCCAGCCCCAAACTCAGAAGAAACAAGAGAATATTCACTAAACCCTTGCTCCTAATAGCAAGAATTTGGGAACGACCCAAATGTTTATCAACGGTATCATGGATTAACGAACGATGGTACAATCCCATAATGGAAGAATGAATGACCCCTATCTCCAGGGTAAGGAGTCCAGGGGCCGCTGGTGCGCAGACACCATCGCCTGGCCTCCGGGTTTCCATTTTCCTGGGTCGGTCAGGCACCTGCGCTCGGGAAGGGGTGGAGGGCGGGGGAGGACCTTTCTCGGATCAAGGCCGTCCCCTCCTTTCGGATGGAATCGTCCCCGCCCTCGCTCCCCTCCCTCTTGGAAGCGGCGGAGACCGCGAAGTGGGAGGGGGCTACGAACGAGGCCCCGGGGCCACAGACCAGCTCCCCGAGGTGCTGCCCCAGGGCCATATGACAGGGAAAAGCGAGGCGACACTTTTGATGCAGTGGTGTCAGGTCCTCCCGGAAGTGGGCGGCCTCTGGGGCGAAGCTGCAGCGAACCGGGCCGGGCCGGGCGTTCGCTCCCCGCTCCCCGCCCTGGGGCGCGGTCCTCCGGCGCCCTCTGCTGGCCGAGGCGCTCCCTGAGGCCGCTTCTGAGCCGCCACGCTCGAGGCTGGGAACACATGCCACTAATGGGGGTGAAAACTGGTACACCTGTCTTGGAGGACAGTCTGGGAATATCTAATGTGACCAGGAAAGGCCTCTGAGGGGAAGACACATTTGAACAGAGGCCTGCGTTTTCCACAGGTGTCCGTCCCCCACTAAAAGTAAAAACAGTAACTAAAAATGTGACACCCAAACAGAAAAGAAAGTCTCCTTCATCCCAGATATCCATTTCTCTCCCCAAAGGCAATTATTTTTAACCAGTGCTTTGTATGATCTCCCGGGGGGTCCTTATAGAAACAAGGAGACATATATGTAGACTAACGTACATGCCTTCTTTAGGTACCACAAATGGGAGCCCACACGCTAGCCTGTATCTTGCTTTATCCTCCCAAGTAACAATATTCAGTATCTTGAAAATTGTTCCAGATCATTACATGCAATTTCCTTAATCTTTTGCAAGACTGAAGACCCTTCCATTGTATGGATTTTACTACAATGGCAGGATGTATTTAACAAGAGGACTTTCCCTCCCAGAGCCTTCAGGTTAGATTGCAATTTTTCCGCTACTATAAACAACGTGGCAATTTCCATGGATGTGTTGAACACACATCTGTGCACTCTGGGTGAAAGGTGCCGTTATATAAAATGTTGATACATTTGTCCAAACATCGTCCAAAAAGGTTAAACTAAATTATAGTTCCACCAGCAGGGAAGTGAGGGCCCCTTCTTAAAAACTGGCCAGGCAGGGTATACTCTAACTTTTTTATCTTTGCCCATCTGATAAAGGAAAGTGAGACCTCCTAGTTGCAATTTGCATTTCACATGAATGGGGTGGAGCATTTTTACGTGTTCCAAAGCCATTCTGTTTCTCCGTGTTCGAACTATCCCTTCATGTCCTTTGGTCATGGAATCGATGAAATTCTTAATTGCCAAGAACTCTTTGTATATTAGGCCACTTGGCCCCTGTTGATTAGATCATTAACCGGGTGGCTGAATCAGAGTCAAAGAGTTAATCTTGACCAGGAAGAAGACGATGTCTACAGAAAGTCCAAGGAATGAGCCAAGGCTCAACCACCACCCTTATCCTTCCTTGATTTAAAAAACAAAGCTTCTTCGAGTGTCTCACACTTGCCTGAAAGCAAACAGTGATTCAGCCTTGGGCCTATGACCCCAGAGGACCTCTGAAGGAGTCAAAATCATATAAATTTTCAAATCATTTAAAAATTTTCAAAATCATATAAAATTATCATTTTACATCATTTAAAATTTAAAATCATTTAAAATTAAAATTAAAATTTAAAATCATTTAAAATTTATAAAATTATCATATAAAATTTCATTTATATGAAAGCATATAAATGGCTTTCAAGGGAGATTTTGGGTCAAAGTCTGTTGAATGTGGCCCCGAGTTGGGGGCTCCCAGAAAAGATGTGCAAACCCTTTTCGTTCCAATTTGCTGAGCACCTCCTGTGTGCCTGGTTCTGTGCAGGAGCCTCACTCCTATGGTATCTCTGTAGCCTCCCAAGGTAGTATTTGATGCTCTTACACTCAAGCCAATGCCCATCTGGAGACCATTTAATATATTATGGTGCAGTCATATTACACACCTGTCAAAAGGGAGAAAGCTCTGCATGTAATGGATGAGGGATCATCAAGACATTAAGTGGTAAAAACCAAAGTGCAGAACAGCATGCACAACGTAGTACCATTTGCATAGAAAGTGGGGGAAATATATAGGTATTTCTTAGAGACACAGAAGCCACCTCTGGAGGGGGACACAAGAAACTGGTAACGGTGATTGTCTCTCAGGAGGGGATCTGGGTGGCTGCCAGGCAGGGGTGGCAGGGAGAGGCTTTACCACATCCCACATCCCAGGTCTTTTTCTTTTTATCATGTGCAAGTATTAGCCTCATTAATTTTAATAGGGTAGCACAAGTCATCCATCATAGGACTTGTTAAATACCTAATAGTCCAATCAATGGAATATTTTACAGCTGTTAAAATGTCAAAGACCATCTGTGTATATAAACCCTCCATGGCTCCCATCTCATAGGAAAACCCAACGTTTGCATTACACCAGGAGGTCTAATGCAGGGTCCGGCCCTGGTGGCCCCTCCGAGCTGATGAGGCACCAGCCACAATGGACCACACCGGGCATGCTCCGGCTCCGGTAACTTGCATGTGATGCCCCCTTCCCCTGGAATGTTTTCCCTCCAGAGGGCCTCCAGGCTCATCCCCCTCATCTCCTCAGGGAAGCCTTCTCTGGCACCATTTCGTCAGCCACCCACCCCTTCTCTCTCCAGTCCTCATTCCCTTATCTCCCGCCCTGTTTGACTTTTCTCCCCTGCAACTCAACCACTACCTGACATTGTGTATGTTTTACTTTTTTGCTGATTGCCCTTTAGACCAGAGGTTGGCAAATACAGCCCATGGACCGAATCCAACCTAAGGTTTGCCTTTTATGGCCCCTTGTGCTAAGAATGGCTTTTACAGGAGCATCTGGGTGGCTCGGTCGGTTGAGCGACCAACTCTTGATTTCGGCTCAGGTCATGATCTCCCGGTCTTGGGATGGAGCCCCGCGTGGGATTGGGCTCCACACTGAGGGTGAAGCCTGCCTGGGATTCTCTCTCTCCCTCTGACCCTCCCCAACCTGCCTCATTCTCTCCCTCTCTCCCCGCCCCCCTGCCTCAAATAAAAAAAATAATAAAAAGTAAAATAAAAAAAAGAATGGCTTTTACAGATGACTGTTTGCAATCGATTTGAGGATGGGGAACACTAACTTGGAGTCCCAATTAAAAGCAAAATGTAAATCTTCAAAAGAGAATTCCATTCCTCTCTTTCGTAGACCTGTATTATCAAAAAATTATCTTTAAATATTACATTTTTAAAGAATGTTTATTTACTTACTTTTGAGAGCGAGAGAGCATACGCAGAAGAGGCAGATAGAGGGAGACAGAATCCAACGCAGGACTCAAACTCACAAACCATGAGAGCATGACCTGAGCCGAAGTTGGGACACTTAACTGACTGAGCCAGCCAGGTGCTCCTAAATATTACATTTTGTCAACAAAAAAAAAAATTGTGGAAATGTATTTTCTCTTATATAGGTACCTACATAATGTCCTCACTACTGAGGCCTAAAACCTAAATATTCACTCTCTGCTCTAGACGGCTCCATTGGGGCAGGACCAGTTTTATTTACTGCTCTGACCTACGCACCCCGAGAGGAGGTGCTTAATAAATATTAGCCAAATGGATGAATGAACTGCTAGACTTTTAAGTGAAAAACAAAAAGTCAAGGGAACAGCATATCTAATAGGCTGCCTTTTGTGCAGAAGTAAATAAGATAATATCCACCCCGTGGGCACAGACTATCTGTGAAAGGTGACCCAAGAGTCTGGTAGCATCTGAGGAGGGAAGAGGACAGGGGTAGGAAGGAGGCTTCAGTTTTCTTTTTTATGTTTATTTTTGAGAGAGAGAGAGAGAACAAGCAGGGGAGGGGGAGGGGCAGGGAGACAGGTGGGGGACAGAGGACCCGAAGCAGGCTCTGTGCCGCCAGAAAAGACAGCCCAATGCGGGGCTCAAGCTCCCGATCCGTGAGATCATGACCTGAGCCAAAGTCGGACACTGAACCAACTGAGCCACCCAAGTGTCCCTTCTCCTAACCTTTTCTGAAGGATATGAATGTTTTATTTTAGATACACATGTGACAATTACAAATAAACGGCTTTGTCATGAAAAAAAGCCAACCACAAAACCAAGACTATACTGATTGCCCCTGAGACGTGGTTTCTTTATCTATTCATTGGGGTAATAAGAAGGGGGTGGTTCTGGAACAATCCTGGGTAACTGGAAGGAGGTGATCACCCTGGTTCAAAGGCAGTTGTCCCAGGCCTCGAGGGCGGCAGGTGTCTGTGTGTGTGGGCTGAGGGATGCCCTGCAGCCGGGCCTCCCCACACCTGGCATGGCATGCTGATGCTCCCGCTGGTGCTCCAGGCCCAAGACGGGTCGCTGGGATCTCCTCTAGGTGCAGAGCGCGCCTTCCCCCTGCTAATCTCCGTGCACTGCCACCAGGGGTTCGCACACACACTCTCTCTCCAAC